CAAGGTCCTGAGTTCAAACCCAGATACCAAAAAATAAAAGTGACTACAGTGTATGAGATAATTAAAAGGAAGTGTGAGAAAATACAGATGGTGACTCAGGCCATCGGCATTCAAATTCTAGCCCTACATTCACAAGGCCTGTGACCTTGATACAGTGTCTTAGCCTCCTAGTACCTCAATTTCCCCTTTTGGAGAGGGGGGAGGTGGGTCTCATTATGTAGTCCAGGCTTGCCTCAAGCCCATGATCCTCCTCTTCCTGCCTCAGCTTCCCAAGTGCTAGGAATACAGTGCACACTCCCACACCCAACTAATTTCTACATTTTTTAAAAATGGTCTATTGTGAAGTTAACATTAGAAAACATGTTAGTGGCTTCTTTAAAAAAAGAAAAGCTGGGGGCTGAGGATTTAGCTCAGCGGTTCCGCTGCCTGCCTTGCAAGCGCAAGGACTCGAGTTCAATCCCTGGTACCAAAAAAAAAAAAGAAAAGCAGCCTCATCTCAGTTTTTATCATTTTATAGCCTTTTCAAAGAAAAGCATTAGTCAAAGTGCAAACAAAAGCCACTGTTTCCCATAATTACTCATGTTAATACTGTAGTTTATGAAATTTGATTAAAACTGATACAATACACAAGAAAAATTTTCCATCTTATGTACTTGATACCGGAAAAATTTTCATAAGAACTCCAAAAGTGAACTGAGTGGAGACCTACAACATCCCTGACCCTGGTAGCCCAAGAAGAGCTTTCCACGAGTGTGAAGACGTGCTGTGGATGACTTGCTGTATTTGTGGCTGTGCTTGCCTGGCTTACAAGAGAGAGTGGCTGCCCTGCACAATGCCCCTCAGCAGAGTTGCTAGTGAGGTGCTTAAGGGAGGAAGAGGTGTTTCCCGGAAGCATCCCAGCATTCACACTTCCTTCACAGGACAGTTCAGATCCTGTGAACTCTCCCCTGCGGAAGCTGCTACAATAGACCGGTAATTTGATCTTTCCTTTAATCCTCTGGACTATTAAAATATTCTCATTTCTGACTTTCCCATGACAGAAACCCAATATAAACTCAGAATGCCCACGCCTCCCTTCCCCACACAGACACACTGGCAAAGTAAAAAGTGAGGTGCTGTTTACTCTAAGTGATGAAACGTGTCTTGAATGAATGAGGTAGGACAGTACAATGCATGAGTGCAGGTAGGGCTGGCTCTGTTGAGAGGCCCTCGGAACCTCGGTGGAGGGACACTGTCTTCACAGAACCGTGCTGTTTCCACCTGCCAGGAACCTTGTCTGAGGAAACTATGAACAGGAGCTTTCATCTTTAAGAACTCCAGGAGCCTCCCCTTACCCACAGGGGACACTTTCTGAGACTCCAGTGTGCCTGAAGCAGGGGACCCTATAAACTGAAGGGATTTTCTATACATGTGGGCCTGTGATGAGAGCAACAATAACTACAAATAAAACAGAATAATAACCATTTCTGCAATAAAAGTTCTTTAAAATCTGTGGATTGTTTCTGGAATTGTTCACTCAGTATTTTTGGACCACTGTTAACCGAGAGTAATGAAACAGTGGAAAGTGAAACTGTGGACAAGGGCGGGCAGGCAGGCAGGGGCAGGGGCAGCAGCTATACTTGGTTTTTCCACTAAAAATATTTTCTGAACATCCTGAGGTTTCGACGACCTACCCAGTACCCCGCAGAGAAGGCTGCCTTCCGAGCATGCTGGGAAATGGCTGGCCATGGGGCATCTTCTCGCATCCACACAGACTCACCTGTGCCAGGTACTCCTGAGGCACCAACAGACACAAAGATAACAGGTACCAGAAATGTGCAGTTGGGAGTGGCGAACTCCCCAGAATCAATGTAAGCACCGCACCAGGGTGGCACCCTGATCTAAACAGCACATCCGAACTTCAGGGCACACAGAGGAAGGGTTCTAGGACCGGGAATGTGGCTCAGCGGCATCGCCACCTGTCTTGCAAGTGCAAGGTCCCAAGTTTGATTGCTGGTACCAAAAAAAAGGGAAAGGTTCTACACCTTTTTGTTCATTGCATCATTAGCAAATAAGCCCTCCCTAGGATTTCTTTTTCTGGATGATTATGATTTTCTTTATTTAGATGAGGCCAAAATAATACGTGAGAAAGTGCTAAAGTGAACATTTCCACTGTATGACTCATATAAATTAGAGTTGGAAAGCTTACCAAAACACTAGCTACCTTAAATCTCTACACAATGTCATTAGAAACATTCTCTTCCAATACAATCAATCTCTGGGAAAGATTTACACAATTTCAATTTGTGAAAAACATTATGTGGGCTTCAAATTTTAAACACCTTCTCCAGACCACACAGATAAATCTGTAGAGTCAGGATATTTAATGCAGCTTTCCTAATACTGCTAAGGTAAAAGGTCCTCGACTGTGAGTAAGACTTTTCACCATTTCCCTAGAGAAGGCTGTTGGAAGAGACTGGAACGAAGACAGGGAAAAGCTTTCAGATGTCTTAAAGCCTCACTTTGTAGCCACAGAAAAGCAATTAAAACAAGATAATTAAACCTTTCTGTCTATTCTGCAGCTGCACTAGGCTGGTACAATCTGGAGTTGAACACAATTTTGATATGGAGTGTACAGAACCATACGTGGTGGCACTACTGAAAAAAGACTGTTGCTAAAAGCAAGGACACCAAGATGTAGCACCTTGACTTGAGCAGCTTCCAATTTTTTGAAAGCAACTGATGGCAAAAGAACAAAGATCTTACACTGACATCCCCACTGCCCTGACCACCACTGAATCAGGATGTTATTTAGAAGAATCCACTGTGAAATTCATCACCATGGGTGCAGAGTGGTTTGGTTTTTAATCCAATCAGAGAAACACTTGTAAATTATCTGCCTCTTTCCACATCACTAAAGCTCATAACTGTACCTGTCTTCCTTAAACGCAAGGTCAAAACCTAGGGTTTATGGTGGAGGAGTTTGATAACAGAATGGAGATCTTCACCATCCACTATGCTTCCTTATGGCTCTGTCACTGGCTACCTTGCTTTGCTGCTCTCCAGCTATCTGCTCTGCATCCCTGGGGCTG